TTGAACTGCTGACCTTTCAGTTAGCTGCCTAGCACTTAACAACTGTGCCACCAGGGCTCCTACTATTGCCCCTTAAAGGTCTAAAACTGCCTGACATCTGACATCAAAACACAACCAAGATCAATACAATAACCAATAAATACCCAAAGGTTACATCAAACTAATATTCACTGCCGTTGAGTCGGTGCTGACCCGACTCATTGTGACCCCTCCTTGAGTTTCCAAGGCAGTGTCTCTCTGGAAGTAGATTGCTCAATCTTCCTTCTGAGAAGTGGCTGGTAGGTTTGAACCGCCAGTCTTCGGTTAGCAGTCCAATGCCTTGGGCACTACGCCACCAGAGCTCCTAAAAGTTACATAGGGTCACAAATATATAAGCTTAACTCACCGTGAGACTTTCTAGAATATTGTCACTACATGCTTTAAATATATTTTTGCAATTATAGGCACAAGTAAGGAGCTCTGATGATGCAAACAATGATCATTTTATTTGTAAACTTACACAAGCAGCCAGAACGAGGGAAAATAAAGCAGAAATAAAACCAAACTCACTGCTGTCGAGTCACATCTGACTCATACCCACCCCTCCTTGGGTTTCTGAGGCAGTTATCACTACAGAAGCAGATTGCCCAACCTTCCTTCTGAGGAGTGGCTGGAGGGTTTCAACCACCAGCCTTCTGGTTAGCAGTCAAGTGCCTTAGGCACTACGCTACCAGAGCTCCTAAAGTAGAAATTTGTTGTTGTTGTTGTTATGTACCAACAACCAGTCGACCCGACTCATAGTGACCCCTCCTTGAGTTTCCGAGGCAGTATCACTACGAAAGTAGATTGCCCATTTTCCTTCCGAGGAGTGGCTGGTGGGTTTGAACCACCAGCCTTCTGGTAAGCAGTCAAGTGCCTTAGGCACTATGCTACCAGAGCTCCCAAAGCAGAAACAGGAATGAGAAATATAAATTACAATTGTGCCTCACTAAAACAAAACCAAACTCACTACCTCGTAGCAACTCCCCTTTGAGTTTCTGAGGCGGTAAATCTTTAAGGAAGTAGACTACCTAGTCTTCCTTCCATGAAGTGGCTGGTTAGCATTCAAATGCCTTAGGCACTGCACCACCAGAGTTCCTTACAATTGTGCCTATGTGAAATCTGCACACTAGTTGTATTGCTCTCTAAAACCTCGAGTACAGAATCTGTAAGTTTCTTTCACATTTCCTTTTACTCAAGATCCCTGAAAAGTACAAAAGAACCCTTGAAGGGAGGATTTACAAATTGGGAATCTTTTCCTACTTTCCTAGATTTTTTTTTTTTTTTTTTTAAAGGCATGTCAAAATCTGATTCAGTCATGCACACTGAAATAAGTATTCTCTATTTCCTTGATTTATCACTACTAAACCAACAAAACTCCATAATCTAATTTCACTTCAAATCTCAAATACAAACACTACTAAAGCTTTGTTGAAATGACAAATGTTTTGTTATTTATCACAATAATATATAAATAAATATGTGTGTTGAAAGAAATTAAAAAGCAATTATTGAAAAAAGCAGAGGCCTATCTGGGGGAAGCAGACAGGAGGGATTTTCCAGATAAAAAGGTTAGGACCAAGTTCTAAACACCAAACTGTCCACATTTAAATAAAGGCCATGAAATAAATGATTAAGTACTATTATACATAATCTCTTCTACTTTCATTCATTTCCAAACTACTTGATGGATTTACACGCAAATAGCCCTGCAAAGTGACTTCCCTTTATCTTTTAAGAAATCGCACCCGTTACACGTGAGTCCCCCATACCAACCCAGTCTTGTGCTACAGTAAAGAAACTGGGGTCGAAGAAGGTTGCCTGCTTCTCCGGAGGAGGCACAACTGGAGACATTTAGTTTTCTGACCTGAATGCACAGAAACCAGGTGTGAATGGCAGTTAAGGCCTCGAGCCGACAGACAAAGGCTCACTCCCTCAAGAGTTCTCAACTTCTCCTTTAGAAAAGACCATGTAGAGCGGGTTCCTCTTCCCCCGCTGATAAATCAAAGCTAAGTCTTGACACGGGAAGAGGCCCGCACGGACGCGGCCACTGAGCTGGTTCCTGGACGCTCCCGCCCCGGACCCCGAGCCCTCCCCGAGCCCCGGCGCTGTACCTGGCGAAGAGCTCAGCGAAGCCGCCGCTACGTCGAGCCCGGGCCGAGGCCCCCAGGCGGACCTGCTCCGCGGCGGGCGGGGCCTGCGGCGGGGCGGCCGGGGACAAGTGGTCGCCTGCGCTGTGGCGGCGGCTCACCTCGAATGTGTTCCGAGAGTTCAAGTGAACGTCGGAGAAGCCCAGGCGGGACTCCGCGCCCGCGCCCCCGCTAGTCCTCCCGGCCGACGCGGCGGGGACTGCGCCCTCCTCGGGAACCCCGGCGCCAGCTCTGGGGGGCTCCAAGTCTTCGCTGCTGCCGCCGCTCACGGAACTGCCCCCCGAGTCGCTGCCTACGCTCTCCGATTCTTTATCCGCAGCCGCCAGGCAGCAGCTCCGCAGTGGGTCCTCCAGCGGCGCGGCCCAGTCGAGCGAGCTGCCCGCGCTGTCCGCGCCCTCGTCACCAGGCCTTTCCAGGCGAAGGCGAACGCAAGGGCGGCGGCCGCGCAGCTCTCGGCCGCTGGCGCGGGGCAACCCACGAGCCTCCTCCAGGTTGCGACAGTCTCGGTCCGGCAGGAAGCCCGAGTCCCCGTTGGTCATGCCTCCATGCCGCGGCGCGCGGCCATCCGCTGCCACCTCCGCGCTGCGGTGCTTGGAGCCTGAGCCCAGCGGACAAGCGTCCGAGCGCGGGGCTGCAGAGGGCGATGGGGCGTGGGCCTGGCCGGCAGAGACCGGACAGTAACAGAGACCCGGCTCCAGCTGCCCCCCGGCCGCCGCGAGGTATCGCTGAAGGAGCTGACGAGGCGGCGTCTCCTCCTCCTCTTCCTCCTCCTCCTCCTCCGGTGGCCCCACAGCGCAGACGCCTCCGCCAAAACCGCCTGTGGCCCGAATCATCTTCCCGTCCGGGCCCACGGGCTCCGGCGCTGGCACAGGGAGCAACTTGGGATTTCTTCCCGAACAGGCTCCAGCATCTTCGGGACCCACCATCTGAGGGCCGGGTGACCGCCGCCAAAAGAGGCAGCGGAGGACTCCCGGGCGCAAGCTCGATCGCGGAGTCGCCCTGGGTGCTGGGGCCGCGGCGGCTGCCGCCGCAACCTTCCCAGACCCACCCCTCCCACCCAAGGGTTCGGACAGTTGCGGGAGGGCGGGCACGCGCCTTGGCTCGCGCACGCGCAAAAACCGGACCGGTCGGGTCCAAACCTGGAGATTCCCAGAACCATAGAGACTAGGGTAGCTAGAGAGCCCTGCTCCGTGACACTCTCAGGCCGCCAATCTGGGATCCGCCATCTGGATGGTGGAGGCTGGTTGGCCAACTTCGAGCATGACAGTTCTTAACAGAAGTGGTTATTCCTCACTTAGCAAAAATTCACTTGACGTACTTAATTTATGGGAGTAGAACACAGGATGTTAGATGTGGGTAAATCTTCCAACTCTGGTCACCACCAGTTGATTTTAAATCTCTCTTCATTGTCCTCATTGCCACAGTTCAAGGCTTCACCGTTTCATGCCAACACTCTACCTTTTTCATTTTAACTGCCACAGTGCTACCAAAGTTACTTTTCTTATCTAACACCACTTTTCATCACATCGCTGTGTTTAAACATCTCCATCATCACCTAATGAAGGATAGATAGGAGAAAGTGGAGTCAGGCAGAGAAGAACTGGAAATAATTTCAGCACCTGGTAATAATGGATTAAAATAGGGTGATGATAATTGAGTAGAAATAAAATCTGTTTAAGGTAGAAATCACAAGATGTGAAAACTGATATTAAAAGAGGGAGGAGCCAACAATTACTACAAAGTTCTGAGACTGAAATCAATGTTGTTTGAAGAAATAAGAAACCGTATTGGGAAAATAAATCTGGTAAAGTGAAAGATTGGAAATATTCAGCATGTAGTTAGAATTTTAAAACTTGGGGCAAGGTTTAGGTTTGAAGATGAAGATTAGAGAGCTGTGTTATAATGGAACTAGGTGAATCATGATGACAATCGCCTGTTGTGGACCCAACTCATAGCGACCCTCCTTCGGTTTCCGAGGCGGTATCACTATGAGAGTAGATTGCCCAACCTTCCTTCTGAGGAATGGCTGGTGGGTAATCGCCTAGGAGGAAACAATAAAGATGGGGGTGGGGAGAGAAATCTGTGGCTTTGGTAATAAAAATACTAAGGTTAAGGTATTGCTATTTCAGGACAAATGAGAAAGCTGGATTGTAAGAAATTAAGAAGCACCAATTATGAATGAATGACATGAAGCAGCAAATACAGATTACTCACTCATTCTAGAAGTGCATCAATGAAAGGATAGAAATAGAAGAATAAAGTGGTAATTAGAGGAAGCAAACATCAAAACTTCATAAAATAATAAAAGAAAATATATACATATATATTCTATATACCAAACTAAACCAATCCCACTGCCATTTAAATTCTGACTCATAGTGACCCTGTAAGATGGGGTAGAACCATCCCATAGGATCTCCAAGTCTGTAAATCTTTACAGAAACAAATGTGTCCATCTTTCCCCCACACAGCAACTAGTGGGTTCTAACGGTGGACCTTTTGGTTAGCAGCTCAATGCTTTAACCACAGAGCTACCAAAGCTCCTATATGCACATACACAAGAGTGAATGTAACATATTATGGTAAAATGAGTTCTTTATGTGGCCTTCTATCATGGTTCTTTGGAAAAACAACTTGAGAAATTTTTCCCGTAAGCCCTGAGAAGTTACCTTTGTCCTAGTTTTCCTCAGAGGTTTTGTTTCATTTCCTGGGTAAGCTTTATGCAACTTGATTTCACACTTTATGTCTGGCCCTAGTCTGCAGGCTGCCCTGTGGTTGGTATGCACCTTGCAGGGATTAATCGATACACTATGTAAGTGAAGTGACTATAGACTATGCAAATGAAGTCTGAGTAACAAGGATCAAGGGTTGTAACACTGAAGATGGCAAAAGGCTACCCTAAATCTGATAGAGAAGGAGGCCTGGTGGCACAGTGGTTAAGCACTCACTGCTAATTGAGAAGTCAGAAGATAAGGCAGTCTTCTTTCCTAAAGATTTATAGCCTGGGAAACCCTGAGGGACAGTTCTACTCTGTGCTATGGGATTGCTATGAGTAAGAATTCGACTTGACAATAGTGGGTTTGGCTTTTCATAATCCAATTTTTGGATTCCATTTTACTTAACTTTCAACAACATTTATACTGTTGATCACTGTCCTTCATTTTGAAACACTTTCTGCTTAGCTTCTGTGACCCCAGACTCTTGATTTTCCTTCTGCTTCTCAGTTTCCTGAGGAAGAGGAAGGGCAGAGATTCTTCCTTCTTCATTGAAATTTCCTAATAGAATAATCTGAACCCTCTTTTCATCTCATCCAACCTTCTCTAATCCAGATAATCTCATCAATTCCCAAAACTTTAAATGATCATCTGTAAGCTAAAGACTCTAGAATTTGTGTCTGTAGCCCCAGGGTTACAGGTGAGGAGAGACAACGCAGGGACACCCAGAGCAGCAGGCCGGAAGAACAGGAGAAAGGGGATAAAAGCCTTGAACCCGGACAGAAGAGCAGTCAGCCCCAGGGTTACAGGTGAGGAGAGACAACTCAGG